ATGCAGTCCAAGAACAAATATTAATAGCTCACAACCCAGAATTTCTGATGTCTAAAATGCTAGTTAGAAGGAAGACAAGATTCATCCTGGGGCTGTAACGTAGGGGGTGAAATGATCTCTACTCTACTTGTGAATTTTTCTTTTCAATCCTCACCAAAGGGCAGGTTTTTATTGGTCTTAGAAACAGAGATGTAGTGGAGGGAGGGAGAGAAGGGGAGAGAGAGAGATGGGTTGCTTCTTGTACAGCCCCTGAGTGGAGGTCTACCCTCAATCTGCAGTAATATGGGATGAAGATCAAATCAAATGAGCCACCTGGCCAGGGCTACCTGAGTGTCTTATGGGGCAGCCTCTGGCCTGGAGTGGCTATTGAGCCACTGGGATGAGGCTTACCCACAATGAACAGTGTTGAGCATGAGATGTACCCTGGAATAGGAAGACATCACAGGACAGGTGAGTATAAGCCACCTCCCAACAAACTTCTGAAACTGATGAGTTGTTGGAATGACTGCCGTTTGCAAGTTATAAAAAAAGGCTTGGTTTTTTGTTGGTTTGTTTGTTTTTACTTTGTATATGTGGCTTCTAGAAAACCAGGTGAGGCCTGGCTGGGGAGCTCACTTGGTTAGACGAAGGTGCTATTACCCCAAGGTGGCAGGTTCAGTCCCCAGTCAGGGCTCAGACAAGAAGCAACCAGTGAATTCATAAAGGAGTTCACAACAAATCTGTGCTTCTTTCTGCCTCACATCAAGAAGTTAAAAAATAAACACTAGTTTAGGATGATGTCTCTGTGTGACTTTATATATCCTGTGGACAATGCTGGTTGAGACCCACAAATCCTACAACTGAGTGTGGCTGAGACCCACAGAAGCTGAGAGACGGAGGAAGTCAGTGGCTGACACTCCACTTACCACATTGCAGAGTCCTCCCATCTCCCATCTGACTCAGAATAAAGACCACCATGTTATTTCTGCTACCTGGTGTTGAACATCTACATTCTGTCCACTGCCTCCATCAAGGGCAATTCACCCCTAGGTGTCCACCCCATGCCTGGCAGTGAGCTGGCCTCAGACATCAGACAGCACTTGCTGAACCTTCTGTAGAAAGTGCAAAGTCAAAACCATGGACTCACCTCCCGGGCACTAGATCCTCTTCTGGCCTCCAGCTGCTTCTTCCCCTGTTGGCTCAGCTCTGGAGTGAGGTCGACCAGCAAGCCCCTTTTATCAGGCAGGTCGCTCCTCCCACTTCGCTAACTTCCTGTCTGTCCCACTTAATCCAATCAGATTTTCCTGGAGATAATGAGATTATCTTCTCCCAGAGAGAGTTTAGCCGGAACAAAGGATATAGTCAAGTGTGAACATTATTTGTAAACAAATGCAAACAAAATATTGTCATGTAATCATTGTAGATTAGATACTGAGTATTATTTCTGGTGCTGTCTTGGGAAATGAATGTCACAAATTACAATTTTTTTTTTGTCAATGGTAAAGTCTGATCCTTTGGAAAGTAGGTGACTGATTGGCCTAAAAATGTTTGGAATCACTGGATTGTGGATTGTGTAGCATCTCCTGAGAGTCAACCAGCCTCATCCTACCTAGTTTTTTGTTGACATTATTTCTGATGTCCCATTTCCCCCCTTTTGCCCACTTGGTCCCTGCGGTCAACTCCCTACCCTCTGGGCGTCAGCACCCAGTAGTCAGAGTCTCTGGGCTAATCCCTCCACCTTCTCCCATCCCCTCCCCCCTCCCCTCTTCCAGCTGTCAGTCTGTTCCATGTGTCCATACCTCTGTCCATTTCAGGGGTGTCAAACTCATTTTCACCGGGGACCACATCTGCCTCATGGCTGCCTTCAAAGGGCCGAGTGTGATTTTAGGACTGTCTAGATGTAACTACCTCTTAACTAGGTGAGGACAATGAACATGACACATGACATGACCACAAGATGGCAGCCTCAGGCAGGCCTGGTGACCACAGACAGAGATGGCAATGACTGAGACGCCGTCAGGAACACTGGGCAGGAGACAGAGAAAATGTCCCTTGTTCCTTGGGTGCAGCTGACTTAGAGTCTCGTGGTCACAGCGGTGCGGGGACATCTGTGCCAAGAGTTCCAGTCACGGTGTTTCCTGGGGGACACATTCTTTTAGCTCCTTCTCTTGTCAGAGCTTGTCCCCAAGTCCCTCACACTGTCATCCCTGTGACTCAGCCTGTTCCCACTGTGCATTCTAGTCCCACCGCTCTCTCTGCTCTCGGCCTCAGGTCTGTTCTGTGGCTTTTCTTGAAGTAAAATGAGCTCCCAATATCCCACATAAAATCCTTTTATGATTAAAGTAGAAATTTTGGGATTTCATTATTTCTTCCAAGAAATCAGTCAGAGGATTAATTGCAAAGAGCGAGCATTTGGAGATTTTCAGTATGTGGGACTGAGAGCCACTTTCTAAATCTTCTGCTTGACTTTACTCCACGGCAGAGAAAACGGCACGTACCTTCCACCCTCATATGACAAATAATGAACTACTTTTCCTTCCCAAGGGTGGGAAGAACATTGAAATGTGGCTTCAAGGCCTTTCCCCAACCCGGGTTCTACTGCATCACAGAACTGTGTGCATCCAAATGTACTGGGGGACCAGGATGGCTTGTGGGCTCGTCACAAAATAATCAACTTTCTCCCCAAAATTGCTCTCAGAATATTGGGCATGAAGTCCAAGTTATAACTTTTTTTAACTTTGAATAATTTTTTACTTTTCAATTACAGTTGACGTACAATATTACACCAGTTTCAGCAGGAACGCGTGGTGATTAAACATTTGCATAGTTTATTGAATAATCTCCCTGATAAACCTAGGACCCATCTGACACCATAAATATTCACAACAATATTATTGACTGTCTTCCCTGTGCTGTACATCCTAACAAAAAATATTCAGGGCAGGTACAGAACAAACATCGTATTCCTGTTGACTTGGGTGGAAGTTAATAGAGGAACCAAGGAGGGTGAGTGTAGAAGTGGTGAAGACCACAGCAGGACAATCTCAGAACATCTCCCTGTAAATTACTGATGAATGACAAACACCAAATGCTGACTGTATGACGAGGAGACCTAACTCTCACCAACCTGATGAGTCACCAGGATGAACGTCCCCACTGTCAGGACAGGGAGGTGCAGTGTCCGGTCCTTGTTCCTTCCTCTTCCACAGTGCTGGCTCCCTTGGTGGCCTCATCCACCCTCATGACATTAAATGTAATTTTTGTAGTATCACCTCCAGGTCTGTGTCTCCAGCCCAGACATTTCTCCTCAACGTCTCCACACTCATCTGTCCAACCTGACTCCTCACTGGTGTTTCTAACAGACGTCTCACCTTGACCTTTTCTTCAGCTGAACTCTTGAAATGCCCACCCCTCCCCCACACATGCTCCTGACAGAGTCTTCCCCATCTCTGCTGATACAACCCCATCTTTCTGCTGGCACAGTACAAATGTGGGGTGTCCTCCTTGACTCCTTTCCCACACCCAGACTGAATCACTAGGAAATGCTGTGAAATCCATCTTCCAAATGCATTCAGTGTCCAGTCCCTTCCCACTGTTTTCACCACTCACAGCCCCGTCAGAACACCCAGCACCTGCAGCCTGGAACCCTGGGAGCTTCCCCACACCTCTCCCTCCTGCCTGGCTGGTCCCTGGTCTCCTGAGTCTGTTCTCAGGTCAGCAGCCAGACTGACCCTGTGGCTCGAGGGCTCTTTCTTGGGCAGGAAGTCTCAGAGGAAGCCACTAAGGACATGGGTTCCTTGGCCATGACCTTCCAATACTCAGCATCCACAGAATGAGAGCAGTGTCTGCAGTGGATTAAGGACAGTGGATGCTGGGACACTTCCTGCTTTAAGCAGGTGTCCTCACCTTCTGGTTGGTCAGCTCTCTGATACTCACAGGGACACCCCTGAGGTCTCTAAGAGGGGGGCCTGGAAGGTAAGAGCAACTCCTAGGTGTCAAAGTCACACTGGGTTAAAATCAGGGGACTAAAGCAGCCATGGCCAGAGGCACAGGAGGTCACACTTGGATGTGTGGGAAGAAACCGTTAACTGCCCATGAAGCACAAGTGGTCCCAGGGGACATCACTGGGGAGCCACTCGGTCCCCTTCTCCCATGTTACACAGCCTGGTCCTTGAAGGTTGTCTTCACAGCTCTTGGTAAGTGTATGAATGCAAAAGTGACCCAGAACAGGTTGACAATGGGGTGAAGGTGTAGACAGAACAACACCTACTAGAAACCATACACCTTGGAGATTTTCATATAAATCAATTTGGAAAAATATATAGCAGTAATTTTAAAATAAATATTTCTCTCATTGAATAAAAAAGGAAAGTTATACTGTACCTATCTTTGCTGAAAGATTTTATTTTTATTTTAATTTTTAAAGATTTTAATGGTTGTTTAAGTGCAGTTTTCTGCCTTTCCCCACCCTTCCAGCCCTCCCCACCTCCCTGTCATTTCCACCTCCCATCATTGTCCATGTGTCCTTTATACTTGTGCCTGCAGCCCTTCCCCTTTACCCCTGAAATTCTCTCCCCTCTCCCCCCTAGTCACTGTCAGCCTGTTCTGTATTTCAGTATCTTTAGTTATATTTTGCTTTTTTGTTGCTGAAAGATGTTTCACTGAAGTCAAAACCCTTCCAATGTTCCCAAAGCCTGCATGATGTGGCGGGAATCTGACCCCTCCCAATGACTCTGCTGCAGCCACACAGGCCTCCTGGCTGTCCCCAGATCACACACAGACTCCCTCCCCAGGGTGTCTGCCTGGGAGGCTCCCTGCCTGGAAGGAGCCTGCCCCAGACATGCTCCTGGGTAGTGGATCATGTCCCTCTCATCTCTCCTCCAAGGCCACCTTCCCCTGAGGCCCACGCTGACCCCTGAATTCTAATAGGCCCCCTGTCTCTCCCAACACACCCAGGTGGGTCTTCTTCTCCACAGCACCTCCCACCTGCTCCCGGGAACTCTTTCCTCACTGACTGTGGTCACAGGGCACAGTCTGTCCCTTTGCCATACAGTGTGTGCTCTGTGAGGCCGGGCATTCGGCCTGTGCTCGGTTCACTGACGTACAGGTAAGCAGCTGCTACTGCACTGCACAGAGACCCCACTTTTAATTTTAGTCCTCACCCAGGATTGTTGCTACTGATTTTACAGAGGAGAAAGGAGAGAGTGAGAGAGACATCGACTGGTTGCCTCCCGTAACGGCCCTGAGCAGAAATTCAACCCCAGCCAGGTATGTGTCCTTAACAGAGATTGAACCCATAACCTTCTGTGTTGGCAGTGCCCTGCCTGGTTTCAGGAGCTGAAGCCACCCTCCATGGCTGAGGCTGAGTGAGCGACCTTAAGACCATAAGCCACTAAGAGGACAAAGCTTGTCTCTGGCAGCAAGCACTGCTTCTGCTTCATTCCCTGCCTCCAAAGTACGGTCGGGTTGGATCTTCGGAGAGGGGTGCAACCCTTCAAAAGGGGGTAACCTAACCCAGAGATGATCACTTGGGAGGCCATCATGGAAGGACTCGGGGGGCTGCTACAGAAAGGGGGTGATGGACCCTGCCTCCCAGCTTTCACAAAGCCCGAGTCCCCATGTCCTCGGGAGAAGTGCTTCCTGGCTCTAATCCACTTGAGCCTAAAAACTGATGATGGGGAAGGCGGTGCAGCCCTGTGCTGGAAAGGGTGAGTTCCCCGGGTGATCTGGCAAAGGAAAGAATTCCTAACAATCCTGTGAAGTCTGCTTTGCTGAGAATGCTTTGAGTTAGATGATAAAGGCCTGAGCAGAAAAGCGAGTTTATGTTCCCAAAGTTCTGTAACCTTTTAGCTGACAGACCCTGACTTAGGAGAAGCCCTAATGGTTCTTTGCATGCTACCTACTGTTTACTGTCTGACAATGATTAATAAGTTGCACCTGAACTCCTGTGTGGAAAAACCCAATAAAAGCCTGTCTAGGCCAGGGTCAGCGTGCTCTCTCTCCTGGAGAGAGTTGCTGGGCCACTGCAGGCCCCTCTCTGGTTGAGAGGGTGGTGAGGCCGTTCCGAGGCGCTCCTCCCTTGAGGGAGCAGCCGTGCCGTCCCTTTTCCTTCACAGGACTCAGTAGTCTGAGTGCATTTGTCTCATGTCTCATCCATGATGCCACAGGCACTGAGAGCCAGTGCACATGTCACTTCTCGTGTGTGGGGTGACACTCCAGCTGAACCCCCCACCCAGGCTGTGTTTGTTTTACAACTGAAGGTAAGATTTCCCACTAGGAAAATGATTACATCTCACTAAAGGCTCAGATGACAGTATTTTTAACAACAAAGTATATTTTAATCAAGATACGTACAGTACTTCTTAAATTTTTTTATTTATTTATTTTGGGGGGGCAAGGGAGGGACAAAGAGAGGGAGAGAAACATCAATGTGTGGTTGCCTCTAACACGTCCCCAACTGGGGACCTGACCTGCAACCCAGGCGTGTAACCTCACTCGGAATTGAAACGGTCACCCTCTGGTTTGCAACCCTGCACTCAACCCATTAAACTGCTCCAGCCAGGGCTGTACATTACTTTTTAGACATAATAGCTTTTAGCATTTATAGACTAAAGTTACCATGAGCTTAACCTTATATGCTCAGGGAAACCAAAATGTGTGTGTGAGTCACTTTACTATGATACTTGCTTTATTGTGCTGGTGTACACATGAAACCAAGTATCTGCAAGGAACGTCTGGATTCCAGATGTAAAAACAAGTGTCATTTACCCAGGACTCAAAACCCACTGGTGGAGAGACTCCTCATTGCACAACATCATAGAAACATACAACGGAGTCCTGTATGATCCCAGGAACCAAAGCCAATGAAATGCACTTTTAAAAAAAACACCCCAATAAGTTAATCAAGTAAATGGAAAAGGTATAAAATGCATGAAAACAAAGAATCAATAAATAAGCGAAAAGATAGGGGCTGAGGTCAGACCCAGGCCTGACCCCAGGCTGATGTGGCCACAGGAAGCCCTCCCTGAGCACAGTCCTGGAGCCACCACAAGGCTTGGGTGACATTCAAGTCCCTGAGGTCCCAGGTCCTGGTGGGACACAGTTCTCCTCAAGTGGGAAGGACAAGAAAACCACAAAGATGTCCCAGCTGAGGAATGACCAGGATGGGGATGGCCTCACCCCACCTCTGCTAGGACAGGACAGTCCCAGGAGAGAGAACACAGGTCCCTGTGGAGAGGTAGACCTGGTGACCAGCTCCTGTCATAATACTGATGAAAATGCAAACACTTTCTGATGTTGGTTGCAGAAACAGCAAGCAGGGACCTTAAAGCCCCAATAGGAGGCTGCAGTGACTGTTGTAGCACCAAGTCCCATAGAAAGCAGCTCTGTCACCCTGGAAAGAAAGTTGTCATCAAGAAACTCAGGTCAGTCTCAGAAGTGTCACATTCCCCCACAGCCACCTCATGCTCAGAATGTCCCACTCTGAGAATCCCCAAAACCCATTTGTGCCCCTCAGTCCTAATGCCACCCACATCCTGCCCTCAGGGTCTCACCATTGAGAGCTGTGATGTACACCTCAGAGTCTTGGGCACTGTCGCTGTCTGGGGAAGACACACAGCAGAGTTTTGGGGTGGGGGAGCCCCCCGCACAGACTCCAGCCCATACTCTCCCAAGGGTCCCAGATGTAACCTCCACAACACCCAGACTTACAGGCAGCCTGAGAGTAGCTCTCCCTGCCTCTGCCTGTGGGATGAAAATGTTCTGTGAGAAGTCAGGGGGAGGCTGGGTCCCGTGACCCTAAAGGAGCCCCATACCCTGAAACAAGAGGAAGTTTCCAGAACTGTGACTGAACACCCAGGGTAGGATCAGGAAATAGTACATGTGTGGCGACTGGACCAACTGCCTGTCTGGACGCCTGTCTTCACAGCGACCTCCTGCTATGATGTGTGACAGCTGGGAATCAGTCCCCATCACTAGAACCATCTGGTGATAAATGTGTTTTTCACTTCCCCACGGGCCTTGTGGACAAGAATCAGTGTTAGAAAACAGGCCCCAGATGGAAAGCACCCGTGTGGGGACACGATGCCGATTAACCAGGCAGAGCACACTTCCACCTGGGCTTGACCCCCAGGGGCACAGGGAACTCAGCCCCACCCCTTGCCCACCTGAGCACTTCCTCCTCCACATCACAGCTCCAGCAGCCACAGCTCCAAGGAGACTCAGGGCAGCAGCAATGCCCATGATGGTCATGGTGGTCTGAGGAAGGGGGTCTGCGGTGTTCTCAAGGGGGTCTGCAAGAGAAAGGTGAGAGGTCAACCTGAGGCCTGAGTCCTGACCCTGCTCAGGGACACCCTGAGGAGAGAGAGGCTCTGTGCCCACGCCCCCTCCTCACCCCATCTCAGGGTCAGGGGCTCAGGCAGCCCCTGGTGCTGCACATGGCATGTGTATCTCTGCTCCTCTCCAGGGGGCACGACCACAGCTGCCCACTTCTGGAAGGTCCCGTCCCCTGCAGGCCTGGTCTCCACAAGCTCCATGTCCTGGGTCAGGTCCTCCCCTTCACGCTGCCAGGTCAGGGTGATGTCCACAGGGTAGAAGCCCAGGGCCCAGCACCTCAGAGTGACCTCATGGTCAGAGATGGGGTGGTGGGTCACGTGTGTCTTTGGAGGGTCTGAGGGGAGGGTGAGAAAGTTCAGGAATTTTGCATGGTCATGGGACACTCCAGCAGTGCTCATGTGACCACCCTGAGAGTGGATAGGACAGTGAGGGTAGGGGAAGGGAGAGCAACACGCAGACACCAGTGAACGGGATAATCTCTTATTTCTTGGAAAGTTGTAGAATCAGGGTGAGAACCTAAGGTAGGAGTGTCCAGGTCTCTCAGGGGAGACACAGACTCAGGTGGAGGCTGATGACTCAGCAAACCCAGAGTCAGGCCTCCAGAGAAGGTCTCAGCCCCAGAATTAGGGAGCGGTTCCTGGTGCCCCAGGTGCTGCAGGGCGTGAGGGAACCGCTGTGGGTGTTTCAGGGAGAGGCTGGGTCCCTTACTGTCTTTTATAGAAAGCTGGGCCTTTGGGTGAGTCACAGAGTGAGGACACCTGGGGGACTCTTCCCTCTCCCGAGCAGGAGGCACATTCTGACACTGCCCCATTTCCCTTCTCTCCTTGTAGGAAGCCGCCCCAGCCCACAGACCCTCTCCTCCGGGAGGCCCGCGCCCTGGTACCTGCTCTTTGCAGCGTGTCCTTCCCCTTCTCCAGGAGCAGCTGGAGCCGGTGCACACACGTGACCTTCAGGAAGAATCTACTGTTGTCCGCGTCAGGGACCTGCACCAAGGTGCTCCCGGTGACCTGGTCCACTTTGGAGGCTGGGGTCCAGGAGCGCAGGTCCTCGTTCAGGTGGACGTAGTCGGTGCCGTTGTAGGCGAACTGACTGTACCCGCGGAGGAAGCGCCCGTCCGATCCCACCACGCAGCCGGTCATTTCCTGGAGGGTGTGAGACCCTGACCCCGCCCGCCCCTGTGGTCATCACTGCACGACTGAGCCCCACCATTTTCCACATCGCAGCCCGGGGGTGTTGCACAGGCAGGGAGACCTGGGGCGACCCCGGCCCGCCTGTGGGGACGGGGCTGTACCAGGACCCGGGCGCGCCTGCTCACCGTCCTCGCTCTGGTTGTAGTGGGCGCGCAGCTGGTTCAGGTTCGCTCTGCTCATCTGCTGATGCTGCTTGGTTTCCACCGTCTGGTCCTTCCAAAAATCTGGGTCCTCCTGCTGCACCCACGCCTGCTCCAGCCACGGCACCCGCGGCTCCATCTTCGGGTTCACGGTGTCGCTGTCGAACCGCAGGATCTCCGTGTCGTCCACGTAGCCGACGACGATGTACCGGTTCTTCCCGCGGCCAGGTCCGGACACCGCGGTGTGCAAATAGCTCAGGCTGTGCGTACCCGGGGTGGACAGGACGCGTGTCCTGGTGTCTGTGGTCCGGCCGGTGTGAACAGGGGGACATGGGGACGTTAAAGGGGGCGCCGGTTGACAGGAGGGGCGGGCGAGGGACTCGGGCACCTGGAGTCGGGGGTCTGGGCGGAGAGCGCGGGAGACGAGTCCTGCGCCCCCTGCGGGGGTTTCCTCGCTCCTGCCCCAGGGAGGCCGTTCCCTTCGGACCCCGCACTCTCCCGCCCAGGTCTCGGTCAGAGCCAGGGCCCCCGAGAGCAGCAAGAGCAGAGCTCGGGGCTGCATGACCCAGACTCCGATAGCTTGGAGAGAGGGCAGTTCTAGTTCTCCGCGAGGTCACTATATCTGGAACCACATTGACGCTGATTGGCTCATCTAGAGCGGATTACCCAATTGGAGTGAGAGCTTGTTTGGCGTCACCAGTATCCAGGCAGAAGGACCCGCGACAGGAAGAAGGGAAACCCCAGGGAAGAAGACGCCCCAGCACTGAGCGTCCCCGCCCCAGGCTCAGTCCTCAGGCTGAGACCCTGGGAGCCCGGTCTGGGGACCCGGGACTTTGCGCTGAGCCCTCCCGGTGCATGGAAAATTCTCTGTCCCGCTGTTGCCCTGAGTCTCAGCCCACGTGCTGTTTTATTCAGCGACCGTCAAGACATTTTGGTGTCAGAACATCTATAAAGTTTCACAAAATAGGGAGAATCCCCAAAATGATTTTGTTTGTGTGGGTTATAGCTATCAATATTTACCATTGAAGGAAGAAAACAGTTTGAAAATTGTTAACTTCATTGAGAATAATATTAATAACCTATGTTAAGAGAAATGATGTTTTTGTGGAAAATTACTATTTCCCAGATACGCGGGACTGTAAGGAGAGTGAATCTACTTACATTTTACGTTTTTGCAAGTCTCAGTTCTTGTCTGTATCATTAGAAGTCCGCTGGATTTTCATATATGCTTATGCATTAAATCTTTTTTGTTGTTGCAGTGTATAATAAAATATTCAGCCTCACACAGATATGTAGGATTGGAGCATTCCACAGACATTTTCAGGTAAGTGTGGGTATTAAGCTTTGATAGTTCACTGAAGCTTTGCAAGTGGTAGTTCCTGAAAATCTCTGCAATGTGGAACCTGAAACTACATCACTGAGTGTTTCCTATTCTCTTATGTTGCTTGAGTGGCTCTTGTAGTGATGCAGGATTATTTAAAAGTGATGCACTGTTTCACTGAGTGAGAGAGATTTCCCAGCGTTGGTGCATTTAATGACACATCATCAAAAATCACACTTGTTCATCTTTCCGCAGACCCCACTGGAAATGGCCGTCAGCTCTGGGAAGCTGTCTGGCTGCCGTGGGGAAACACACGTTTGCCAAAACCCTGGATTTCCTCTCAGAGCTTCCATTCCATCCAGACAGCAACTGCTGTCAGGTGTCCACTGCCTGTTGACTTTCCTTGAGGGAAAAGTTCGCGTTCATTTGAGAGAGTGTTCGCCAGTTCACCACACCTCAGTCATCACAGCTTCTGTGTCTCTCATTCTCTTAAGTGAACTTGCTGTTCCTTAAAGAAGAGGCTGACTCAGCCCTCACAGGTCACTTTCCTGGGCTCATGGTAGCAAAAGTGTGTTTGTGCACCTTCTTGGTCATGTTGGGAGATATTTTATATTTTTATTCAGGACAGTTAAGAAATGAATTCATTTGTAAATGACTTCAGGATATATTTATCTTTTAAAAATATTTTTATTTTTCAATTATAGTTGATCTACAGTACTAAAATGGGTTCTGTATAACTGTGTGTTTACATATTTTTGTAAGTTACAAACTGATCACCCTGATAAACCCAGTACTCATCTGACACCATATGTAGTTATTATAATATTATTGACTATATTACCTATGCTGTACTTTGCATCCCCGTGACTATTCTGTAACCACCAATCTACTTCTTAATCCCTTCACCTTTTTCCTCTCAGTCCCTTCAATCCCATTCCATTTGGCAACCAGCATCTGTTCTGTGAATCTGTGAGTCTGTTTTGGTTCTGCTTGATTACTTTAGTTTTTGTTTGTTATTTTATTTTTTAAAATATTTTATTTATTTATATTTAGAGATGGGGGAAGGCAAGGAGAAAGAGAGGGAGAGAAACATCAATGTTTCTCTCATTTTTTGCCTCTCATGTGTCCCCTACTGGGGGCATGACTTGGCTCCCAACCCAGGCATGTGCTCTGACTGGGAATCAAACTAGTGACCCTTTGGCTAACAGTCAGGTGCTCAGTCCACTGAACCACACCAACCAGGGCTGATCACTACATGTTTTTAGATTCCACATATAAGTGCAGTCATGTGGCATTTGTCTTTCTCTGACATATTTCACTAAGCGCAATACTTTCCGCTCATGTAGTTGCCAATGGCAAGGTTTCATTCTTTCATGGCTGAGTCATGTTCCATTGTATATATGCACCACTTCTTGATCAAATATTCTATTGATGGACACGGACTTAGGTTGCTTCTATATATCAGCTTTTATAAATAATGCCATGATGAACATGTGGATGTGTATGTCTTTTTGATGTCATGTTTTGGGTTTTTTCAGATGAATACCCAGAAGTGGAATGGCTGGGTCTTTTTTGTCTCTTGGTATAGCCTTTGTCTTAAAGTCTATGTTTTCTGGTATAAGCATTGCTACTCCAGCTTTAATTGTTTGTTCCCATTTTCATGAAATATCTTTTTCCATCCTGTGCTTTCAGTCTGTGTGTGTCTTTCTATCTGGTGTGGGTCTCTTACAGGCACCATAAAACAGGGTCTTATTTTCTTATCTATATGTCATCATATGTCTTTTAATTAGAACAATAAACTCATTTGCATTTATACTAATTTCTGATAGATATGTAGTTATTGCCATTTTACTATTTATAGTTGTTTTATTTTTCTTCTCAATGAAGACCCTTTAACATTTCTTGTACTGCTGGTTTGGTGGTGATCAACTCTGTTAGCTTTTTCTTGTCTGGAATGCTCTTTATTTGTCCCTTGATTAAAAATGATAGCTCCTCGGTTTTTATAACTTTGAATATTTCTTGTCAATCTCTTTTGACCTGAAAAGTTTTTGTTGAGAAATCATCTTTCCATCTTATGTGAGCTGCCTTGTCAGTAATTAAATGCTTTTATCTTGGTGCTTGTAAAATTCTCTTTGTCTTTAACCTTTGCCATTTTCTTCCACTCTTTAATTTTTTTTTTGTTTTAAACTTTGTTGTTTTCATTGTAATGTGTCTTGGAGTGGATTTCTTTGGATGTATCTTGTTTGGGACTCTGTACTCCAGACTTGTATGTCTACTTTCTTCACCAGGTTAGGGTATTTTCTGTCACTGCTTTTCAAATAGGGTTTCCATCCCTTGCCCTCCCTCTCTCTTCTCTTCCAGGTGCCACCATGACATGGATGTTGGTGAGTCACCTGAGAGGCTCCTTATGCTATCCTCAGCTTTTTTTTTCTTCCTCTCTCTCTCCCTCTCTCTCTCCTGTTCTGATTGTGTGTTTTCTGGCTCTTTATCTTCCAAATCTCTGATTTCATTCTGTGCTTCATTTACTCCACTCTTGATTCTCTGTAATGTATTCTTTTCCAAAAAAATTTTTAAACATTTATTTATATTAGAAAGAGGGGTAGAGAGGAAGAGAGGAAGAGAAACACTGATCAGCTGCACAGAACCTGCAACCCAGGCATGTGCCCTAAGAGGGAATTGAACCAACAAACTTTTGGTTTGCAGGCCAGCACTCAATCCACTGAACCACATCAGGCAGGGCTCTGTAATGTATTCTTCATTTCAGTTATGGTATTTTTAATTTCCAATGTTTTCTTTACATTTTCTATCTCCATTTTAATGTTTCCTATCTCTCTGTTGAAGTTCTCACTAAGTTCATCTGCTCTGCCCCTAAGTTCATTGAGCATCCTTATAACCGGTGTTTTGAACTCTACATCTGGTTGATCACTTGTCTGAAATTTGGTTAGTTCTTTTCCTGGAATTTTGTTCTGTTCTTTCATTTAGGACATGTTTCTCTCTCATCGTTTAGTCTGCCTTCTTGTGTTTGTCTCTATTGTGAGGTACAGCTGCTTCGTCTCCTGGTCTTGGTAGCATGTCCCCATGCAGTGAGTGTCCTGTAGGGCCCAGGGACACAGTCTCCTCCCTGTTCACCCAACCTGGGCAGTCCCAGTGTCCACCTCCCCTGCTGTGGGCTGTGTGCACCCTGCTGTTGCAGTTGAGTTACGATTGCTTTTCTGGGAAAGAAATTTATCTTTTAGGGATTTATCCTCGGCAGATAATCACACATGTTCTCAAATACACATATATGCAAGGGCGCTTCTTGTATTGTGGTTTTATAAAAGCAAAAGGATGGAATGTATCTAGATGCTCTAATCAATAGAGTGCTGGTGACTGTTGATGGGGAACTCAGGAGTTGAGAAAATTTCAGTGTTAGGTAATAGTTAAGCTTGGTAAGCTTGGTAATGAAGGCCTGTAAAACACTATTGTTTCAGGCACTGAAGGAACCAGCCACCTGAACCCAGGTAACACAAGCGATTCCATCCTTGTGCCCCAGGGGGACTACAAGTAATGAAGATCATATCTGAGCCATGTGCTCCAGGGAGGCACAGCCACTACCCAGGACATAGATAAAAATTCACAGGTCAATAGATGAAAGAATGCTAGGAAAATTGCTTTTATATGATTAACATTTTCCCTGATGGCAACTGTGTGGCTTGGCTTCTGTGCCCTGAGGAGCAAATTAAAGGTCAAAGTAGAATATCCCTGTAGCATTCCAGTGAGGCAGATTTAAGAAAGCCTATGTGATCAATGACTATTTTTTAAAGATTTGATTTATTTCCTTTTAGAAAGAGGGGGAGGGGGGAGGAGATGGAGAGAAACATCAGTGTGTGGTTACCTCTCCTGTGCTCCCTAATGGGGACCTGGCTCACAACCCAGGTATGTGCTCTGATTGGGAATTGAACCAGCAACCCTTCAGTTCACAGGCTGGCACTCAATCCAATGAGCCAAACAGGCCAGGGCTCAATTACTATTCTTCTTGTGTTTGTGTAAATAATTAGGCCAAATGAACATTAGACTTAATGCAGTCTCTTTGATTAAAAAAAAAAAGATGGCAATTTTAAGGGAGGGAAATTGTGTTTCTATGGAAACCATAACACTGAATTGTGGGTCTTGGACTACAGTTAAATTTTTATTTTTCACCTACAAACTGAATTGGACCCTGAATTTTTCTAGTTTTCTTTCAAATGAACGTTTCATTTTCCTTTCATCCTTTGACTTTGAATTACTGAGAACTGCTGATGCAATGCCAGCTGTACAGAATTCACCTGTGCACCTGACAACATCACCAGACATTTAGTCCACACACACGGACAATCTATCACACTGTCCCTACTCACTGTCATTCAGGAAAAAGCCTTGCTTTGGAAGTCTTCTTTTCTGACAGTCTTGCAGACTCAGAAAGTGGTGAGGATTTGCTGTGTTCATTGACCTTTGTGTTCTTCCTATTTTCATAGGGTGTATGCCAATGACCTTGTTTACCTGGTTGCTTGTGTCCACACTAGAGGTCTCTCTTGAGAAGCCCACCTGCATCACCACCTCCTGAAATGAAACTCGGTGGTTTGATGTCAGGACTAGATGTGAAATAGGAGAGTAAGAAGGTAGGATAATTCTTGGACAAGTGGGATGAGGAAACTGAAATGAGACAATTAAACAAGGCCAAAGGGTTTGAGCAATTCATAGCCAGCTAGTAATTTACAGGACCTTACCTCCCTAACCAAGGGCATTGAGAGCAAAGGGTTTATTTTCTCCTCCCTGGCCATAAACCACAGGACTCATGGGAAGGCAGGAGAAGGAGTTTGTTGCAGAGAGGTGGCAGTGCCACAAAGGGAGGGAGCTTGGGAAGAGACTGAGGAATCCCTTTCAGCTCCTCCTCCCCTTAGTCCCAAGAGTAACAGCATCTTACCCTCCCTCCACCTCCAGGAATTTCCTTCTTCCAGTTTCTCTCCATATACTCTCCATGTTAC